TTTCTAGACTTATATTTAGGTACTATAGTATGCATTGACTTAAAGAGGATCCTAATCGAGTACCTCAACATAAAGATATGGAAGTAACTCGTGAGATGTAGTGTCTAAAGATATTTTTCTAAGCCAAAAGACTGTGCAAAAGCGAACTTGGAATTTACTAATTTTTTGCCTAGACCAGGCGAAGTGAAGAAAATGATATTATCAATTGTCTCCACACACATCATTTAGCACCAATTCTTTACATATATTGCTTTCCCCCTATCATCCTCTCTATAACATGTACATTTGTCACTAATAACCATACTTTGTATACCACCTTTTTGAGTTTAAACCTCTTCAGCATAATAATGGCTGATGCAAAACGTGTATCTACCAGAGAAAGCATTTTCAAAGATACAAACTTATTAAATATTGCAAGTCTTATTGAATGATTCATAATAAAGTTCTTCACCATCACATCACTAGCAATTGTAGAGATCCAACTACATTCTGCATACGCTAGTTGATTGCCTTAGAGTACCCTTCCTTACCTTTTGCACAAAACTACTTGAAATAGGAGCATTGCTCACACCAACTCCCCCAATAGATATGTTTGAAGGTGGTAAAAGAATAGTTTTAGGAGTCTTTTAGTTGCACGACTCTTTGCCTCATCTTCTAGTTTTTTCATATCGGCGATATCTTGGGAAGTTAACTTTTCAACAAATTTCAATACTTTGACCACTTATCTTTAATAAATGAGCTCTAACCCTTGTATAAAAACTTTTCTTTATGTCATGACAAAAGTTACATTGCCATCAAATATTTCAATTCTTTATGCTTAGTCACATATTACCAAAGTAGATTTGATTCATTCTCAATATTGTAATTAGAGATTTAAGGCTTGGTTTGGGTTGATTGACTTCGACTATTATTTCTAGAGGTAGAATATGCCATCTAATATTTCAAAGTAAAACCCAAAATACTTTTGGTTTTTTTACAAACTATTAAAAACGGAAAAATACTACCTAACTGAAGAAAAAACCAAACCTAATTAGTGTTGTAGTGGTGTCATAGTTGGTCAGTGGCGGCATGAAGAATGACAATGTCGTGGGAGGTGAAGCGCCGCAGCAGCAGGGGAAAGGGGGACTTCTCTTCTGTGTGAGTTTTCTTTTAAAAAAATATATTTTTTCTATTTATTTTTTTAACAGGAAGCTTATTTTTAACATCGATTGGTTGGGCTTCCATTTTTAAAAAATAGTCTACCTTTTATTTTAAGTTTGTTAGATGGGCGTGTCCTTTGCATGTCCTACATAAAAAAAAATGACATCTTTCGCGTGTTCGGATGTGTCTGTGCTTCCTAGGTATTGGGCGTCTTTGGTTGGTTGCGAAGTGAATGTTTTTCCTCCTATTTAGGGTTTCCTTTGGGTCATAATCCGAAAGTGTTGCCTTTTGGGTGCTTGTGTTGGAAAATATTCAAAAGCGTCTCTCTTCATGGAAAAAAGTTTTTTTTTTTAATTATTTTATAAAATATA